GTGCCTGGCTATAATTTGGGCTTCGCGATAAAACAATGTCGCATAAACTTCGATATCGTGTTTCAAAACTGAATCAAAACTTCTGATTTTCGCCTTTCGGTGGAAACGCTTGACCCGGAAGTGAACTTTATATTATGACCTTTATTTTAACATGGATATGTGGATTGGAATAGAAACCAAGCTAAAATTGAACGTCAGTTCTCGAGCCGCCGGGGTCGGCTTAGCGTACTGACGACACTCTAGCCGCGCCGCCTCCCACGGCTCGGCGTAGCGAATGAGTTAAAATCTACATATTTTTTAATTAGTTATTTTTGCAGCATGTTAAGCTTCACCAGAGGTTAAAAATGTGCCCCAAGGTGGGTTTTTCTCCTGACTTTGTTTTCACGCCCTGTGTTACAAAAACGTGGCATATCTTGAATATATTTGAAAATGTTCAAAACCAGTGATTTCAGGATTGACATTGCGACATGGACATGCCGTTAGAACATGCCGTTATTTCAACATCCAAAATGTCCGACAACTGGGATCTTTGTCCAGGCACACACAAGTACATGTACTATGTACTGGACAGACGGCACAAAGTTTTTCCTTTTGGGTTTATGCAGGGAATCCCTTCTTGTTCTGGGGTAGAGATTTCCTTCTTTGTTTATTCTTTGTTGATGACATTATAGATTCTTTGTTGATGACAGTTGTGAATGAAAAATGAAATAGCTTGCCATTGCTGTAGGAAAGAAAAATGAATAGCCCTGTGTGCCCCTGGTTAACCGCAGGCTTTGTAGAAACTTTGTAGAAACTGTTGGATGAGCTCAAACTTTTCCAGCAAAAACAACAGACAACGTATCTCGACCGTACCCAGCAACTGGACAAGTACGTAGGACTTGTTCATTTTTCTTGCAACAGCAACACGTATGTTTGTGTGCGTGTGTGTGTATGTGTGTGTGTGTGTGTGTGTATGTATATATACCTGCATTATATATGTGCGTGTGTGTGTTTGAGTGTTTATGAATATATGTGTATGCAAGTGATTGTGAGTGTGTGTCTGTAAGTGCATATATATATATATGTGTGTTTGTGTTTCTGTGTGCCAGAGCGTGAGCCATTCTCAAAAAGTTAACTTAAACACCTTGCAACAGTCTAAACAATTTTCAAAATGCTTTTTGAAAAGCTAATGCAATCTAAACCAAAAAAATGTAAAACTATGTTCTAATTGAGGAAAAACAAGTGCAGTAAAAACAACGCTTTGAATGTTTTCTTTGTGTATTAATAGACTACTACTTGAGATTTGTTCTCCGTTCATGTCAAGTATTCAGCAAATTTGGTCGTCATGATTGCGTCTTGCAGACGGCATCGATTCTCTGAAACAGAAAAATAAAGCCTCAAAAACTGCAGCTCTCGGCAATCATAGCCATTTGTGTCACGACGCGGGGAGTCAGGCACTCGTCCATGCCTCACTTTTCTTTATTTTTGGGTTATGAACTTTGGCCCATTTCCTGTAGGTTACCCACAGAGGTTTATACCCAGCCTTTTTTTACTTTGAAAAGCGTAGTTTTAGAAAAACTCCCCTTTCTTTTTGTTTTGATGCGGATGAAGGTAAAAAAACCAACAAACACGTCAGCCATGATCAGCTTTTGAGAAGAACTCATGTATCTGGTATACGCACACACCCACCTACTTATATATATATATGTTTGTTTCCTTTTTATAAACGCCTACAATATCTTTTGATTTGGACTTTAGAAGTTATCAGCTGTAATGTAAGTTATCAGCTGGACAGTGTTATTTTGTTCTTTACAGAGGTTTTCCTCACTCTTGGTGTTGGTCCAACTACATACAAACATCCACGGCCTGAGCAACTACATACAAACATCCACGGCCTGAGTTCACCTGTGGGCTTGTACATTTTGTAGAACACTTTTGATGTCTGTGCTTGTCATTGCTGCAGGAAAATCTAGCCTGTGCTGGCATAGGCTTAGCCGAACGTAGAATTGTCCAAATGTGCAAGTTTGAGCTTCTATAAAGGTATAATTGTCCAAATGTTTCAAGGAATGTGACATCCACTGTGCTGCTGTCTCTATTGCGAGGCTCCTTATCTTTGATGTTGCTCAAACGGAGGCCATACAATCCTGGAGTTGGGGACGACGCCACGTCGTTGTCTTAGCTTTCTGTTCTTTTACTCCCAAGATGCGTTATTTCATCTTTACATTCAGGCTTTTTATACAGGGAAAAAGGAAGAGAAAATACTTTTGCTACATTAGTCAGGGAGATAGGAAGAGAAAATACTTTTGCTACATTAGTCAGGGAAATAGAAAGAGAAAATACTTTTGCTACACTAGTCAGGCTATTTTAAAGGCTACAACCGAGGTGGTAAATATAGCGCCTCGGCTACAACTCATTTCAACAAAATTTTTCTTTGATTTAAAGAAGAAAAAAAAAACAACCTCTGATATATATGTACGAGATTCGAGCACAGCTTCCCTAGAACCGTGGGACAAAGACGGGATGGAAGAGGCAGCAGCTACATTGCTAGATAGAGCAAGCACCCTGCTTATCATTTATCATTTCACTCCACACAATGAGAATTCACATTGGTCTTAGATATAGGGCCTATTATGTTTAAAATGAGAAACCATTTCTCCATAACTTTGTGTAGACCATCTAGACCTAAAACGTCCCATTTCTCCATAACTTGGTTTCTATATATAGCGTAGACCATCTTGACCTACTAAAACTAAAACGTTCCATTGTCTAGCTGCTGCGGCTCCTTTCCTCCTTCTCCAGGAAGTTGATAAAAGTCGATGAAACCCTGAGGTCAAACAGAAACTACAGGTTGACGTCTGTCTTCTTTGTGAAATTGTCAAGATGTATTTTCATATTGAGTTATTTTGAGTGGACATCGACACACCACAAAAGTCACACGATAAAAGTAGCAAGCATATCTCCCAACTGTCCTGGGCGGTGTTGTACAAAATGTAATAAGCAACATTTGTACAGAAACGATGGTCTGGGTGTTGTACAAAATGTAATAATCAACATTTGTACAGAAACGATGGTCTGAAAACCCAAACATCTAGTACACGTGTTGTTGCTATTCTAATTGGATGAATTGGTTTGAAGAAATTTCTAGTATATAAGTAGCCCATAGTTACGATTGATGGATATCGGCGGTTTCTTTCTGTGCTGATCCAATGTAGATCTAGATTTAGAAGTTGGAATAGGACACGTCATGTTCCTTGATTGTACCCACGAATTTTACCAAGTTGACCTTGTAAACAAATTTTAATAATGAACAAACCTTTTGTAATGTCTGAAGTCGGAGTCTGAAGCAAGTAGCAACCAGAGTCTGAGTAGAGAGCAAACAGCAACCAGAGTCTGAGTAGAGAGCAAACAGCAACCAGAGTCTGAGTAGAGAGCAAACAGCAACCAGAGTCTGAGTAGAGAGCAAACAGCAACCAGAGTCTGAGTAGAGAGCAAACAGCAACCAAAGTCTGAGTAGAGAGCAAACAGCAACCAGAGTCTGAGTAGAGAGCAAACAGCAACCAGAGTCTGAGTAGAGAGCAAACAGCAACCAAAGTCTGAGTAGAAAGCAAACAGCAACCAGAGTCTGAGTAGAGAGCAAACAGCAACCAGAGTCTGAGTAGAGAGCAAACAGCAACCAAAGTCTGAGTAGAGAGCAAACAGCAACCAAAGTCTGAGTAGAGAGCAAACAGCAACCAAAGTCTGAGTAGAGAGCAAACAGCAACCAAAGGCAACCAGTAATTCAGTAGAACCATCCCCTGTCATTATTATCAGAAAGTTCAAAGTAGCTCCGAGCGTCTGTGTGTCCGTGTGTCTGTTCTTCTGCGACTGATTGGTGGCAGAGAGGAGGAGCGCTACAGTTAAGACTTTTGCTCCCTCTCTCTCCCGGGATTTCTCTCCTATAACAGGAACAATGGAGGTTGTCTT